GCTGCAGGTCTTGACTGTTCAGACCCAGTTGGTGCTTGGCATAGGTCACCCTCAGTGAGATGTAGTGGATGAACTTCTGATGGTTGACCTTGTTCGACGAGCGGTAACTTGCCTGGAACCACTTCACATACTTGCCCTCCTTTTCCCACATCTCCGAGTAGGTCCGACCGAGATGGGCTGATCCGAAATCGATCTTGGCTTGGCCCATTTCGTCCAGCGATAGGAGCTTGAAGGCTTCGAGCTGATCGAGGGCTTCTTCCTTCTTTGCTTCCCCCATGACACGTGCCAAGCGGGCACTCAGAGCGGCTGCTTCGGAGGTCGGCATGATAGTGATGCGGCACAGGTGAACGAATGGGATGGTCACACGTGTGTGATTGCACAGATCCGGTCTTGAACCCAAAACGGATGACACCGGGCTGGACCCCCCCTGGAACCGATTCGACTGAGACTTTCTCACCCCCGCGAACACTCGGACGTTCGTTTGGTTTCTTTGTGTTCGTATGGGTCTTTGTGGATTCGGGCATGGCGGCTTCGAACTGTTGGATTCTGCTTGTTACAAGACCTGTCCTCACCTGAACGTTCTGTTTCATCATGGTCTTGGTTTCCGACTGCACTTGTCCAGGCTTCTGGACAGAGACACTTGGCAAGCTTTTGCAATTCAAAGTGGCGAAGGTCTCGGCAGGTTCAGCTTCGGCATCTTGACTGGTGGGTGTGATCAGATCATTTAGATCAACTAAAAACAAACCCTTGGCATTCAGCTGAATTGGAATATTGCGCTTCAAGAGAGTGCTTTTGATCACTTCACCAGCTATATCTACGGTGGCTCCGATGGCTCGGAGCAGGGTATTCGACAGCAGGAATGGTGTCCGGCCTGGCACTATGGCAATCTTGAGCTTCAGCGGTCCGATTGGGACAACGAGTGCATGCTGGCTTTCAAGTGTCCCTTGATTACCAAACCGAAAAACCACTGAACATCGACACCTTTGGACCTGCTTCCGAACCTCTGGCTTTAGTGCGGCTAGGAGATTGGCTACGAAACCGCTTCCTATGACCGTCTTAGTAGCACCTGTATCTACGATTCCCAGGGCATCACGAGTTGAAAAGCTCGATAATGCACTGGCTTCGGCGTCATGCATTGACTTGGCTTCAGGTGATTGGGCGGTGCTAGCAAACGCACTTTCTGGCAAGCTAGTCCGGACATCACAATTCTCGCACTCGGTGACCATTTCCCCTTTGTGGGCTAAAACAATGATTTCCCCTTCATTGGTCTCCCACAAAACCCTCAAAACACCGGTGTCCCTTGATTCACAACCACACAAAACTTGCTTCGACTTCTCTTGAGTGGCGTTGAGCGTCTCTTCGGTCAGCTCTGGCAAATACATGATCAGGGCGGCGTCCTCGTCACCGTCATTGGCAAGACTCTCAATCCATTCTTCCTCGGTCCAATCATCAAAATTGTAGGTGGACTCGGGTGCTTGGTCATGACCCTCAGCTTTTTGAGCAATGAATGCATTGGCCTCATAGGTTTCGGTCATTGGATTGTTCTTCTTTCCGCTGGAGTGGACCTCATGGAAGAATCGACTCCCCAGGAGCTTCAGATTGGATACCACCTCTCTGTACTCCAGTGAACCCTGCGATTCAACAATCAGTCTCTTCTTGTCTTCTGAGTGGGTCTCGTTGGCTCTTTGAACCGTGCTGTATATTGCACGCTCAAATCTTTCGAACTTGTCCTCCAATCGGGATTTTCCCCAGCCTTCACTCCCTCCAAACTTCCAACACGCAGCTTCTTTGGGTCCAGTCTTGCAACTCTCTGAAAGGCTGATCCCTCACATTGCAATGCAACTCGTGGGGCAAGCAGGTGTAGTTGTTCTGGAGGCCATAGTGATGCCAGGAACTCTACTTTCCGTGACCATTCTCCGTCTCACCAGGCTTGAAAGATGGAACCTGGCTCCATGGGAGATTGCTCAAACCTCCTGTGGAGGAACTGGAGCCAGCTGAATCACCTTCCGGTGGCATTGGGCTGTTTCCTCCCTGGAAACCGCAGCTCAACAACTCTGTGACAACACCACCAAGACACTGTGCAACCCGTCGACTGCCTTGCGGCCAAACAACGTATTCACCGACTCAACCACGCAGTCAACAACAACCAAGCACAAGGGTCAGGTGTTGTCTGGAGCTTTAGCGGTAGCTCCGCTACCAATGTGATTGACACAAGGTAGCAACAAAAGATCCTCCTTCCCTCGCACAGCCGCGTGCGTTTTCCACTCACTGCTCACCTGAAGGTTGGTACGAACGGTCGGGCGCCTCGCCCTGCAGTGTCCTCACTGCTTCTATGGCTCAAGTCACGGGTGACCCACCCTACACCACCCTTGCGGCCTCGCACACTCGTGGCTTCGGACGTGAACACACCTGAGTGGGTCAAGACTGGTTCCTCAGTGACCGAAAGGTTCGAAATTCACAGGCAAACTAGGATGATATACGATTTAAAACTGTAACTCCTTGGGGCCAAGGGTTTCTCCATCCAACTCCTTCAGGCCAATCCACTGCGACGTACAACATGTCTACTGTATTCGCTCCGGAGCAGAACCGGGTGACCCTGTGCCGGGAACAAGGGCGTGACTGCGAGTGTGGGAACACACCAAAAAGGCCTGGTTCGTGGAACGTGAGTGGGGGTTCTGACAAGAAAACACAATGAATGTGGCACTCTAAATGAAGTATGCAGGGATGTTGATGTCAAATTCCCATATAATGCATTGTGTATATATGGTATTTTGTATGTATAATATCTATATAATAATGTGATATGAGATATCCCAAGAAGGAAACAACCACCTGTGCCCCGTGGTTTTTGCACTGCTCCCATTTTAGGCCACTTTTTAGGCAGTCCCAGTGGCACGGTGCGGCGGAGGGTCTCAATCTCCTCGCGCGCGCGTGGTCGACAGCGACGAGTGGGATGGGTCAAAACCTGCAGCCCTGGTCCACCATGTAGCGTACGACCGATCGTGTCGGTAGGTCAACCAACACGATGAAGGGCCGCGGGAAGCGATTTGGATTGATGCGCACAAGTTCCGTCGGTATGCAACATGAATGAGAGTCACACACCATCGTTGTTCTGTAATAGCCACGATTTTGCCACAATCCAGCTCTGCATTGATAGTCTGGCTTTGGCCGGTCTCGAATCCTGTTTTGCACGTCGCCATGTCCCACCAAACACATTCAGTGTATTCAAGCAACTCAAATGTGTTAATTCAGGTCAACCACTTGAAATGTATCTTCTCTTTCGATCGAACAACACATGCAACATAGGTCATCAAAGCACAATCACTTGCAACCATGTTGATCATAATTATCTCAACGGATCGAGGGTGGGAGAGGCATCAAATCCTGGTCCAACAAGAGATCAGGTGAGGCACGACTCCAGAGCCTTTCGTGTTGGGTTGATCAACCCCACCACGGTATACCAGAAAGAAGATGATCTTTTGGCTTTGGGGGCAGATATATTGTGTCTAGCAGAGACTGCTGCTACCAAGTCAGTTCAAGTAGCATTCAATGAGGCAATCAAACACACGTCATACAAGATGGTTTGGACCCTCCCGATTTTTGACAAATTTTGTAAAGATGATCACTGGACAAGCTGCAGTTTTCGTGGGGAGGCTCTGGGTGCGGCCATTATGGTGAGGCATCCATTTCGACCTTTGAGAGATGCACTCAATCCGGTGACAGAAGAAAGTCGGCGTGTGGTAAGCACGGTTGTCAATTGTGGTTCTTTTGACATTCTAGTCATGTCGGTCTACTTTCAAGCAGGTAAAACAGTGGAAAGTAAGGTAGTTAACAACCTCTTGTTACAGGATGTGTACATCCACGCTATGGGCACTAACATGCCTTTCATTGTGGCAGGTGATTTTAACATTGAAGTTCATCGGCTGGAAGCTTTTGCATGTTTTGCTGCCATGGGATGCATTGAACTTTTTCAGTATCATCGCAGGACTTTTGGGTTCGATCTACCACCCACATGTAAAGAATCGACCAGAAATGATACTATGATTGTCCATCCTTTGATACTTCCCTTCATTAGTAGAATTCAAGTGGGGGATCAGTTCACGTTTGCTGACCACCGTCCAGTGTTGGTTGATTTAACCTTTCCTGCGGTTTCCATCTCAGAGAAGCAATGGTTTGTGCCGAAATCATGGACACTCTTTGAAATTGACAAGCAAGTGTTTGAACGTAAATTTCGATCTCGAGCTTTGCCAGTGCATGTAACAGACACAGATGATGAAACTCTTGACCCCGCCAGACTCTTGAATCAGTGGTCCCACTGTGTTGAGCAGGCTGTCAATGATACACTTCGTCACTCACATACTGTAAATCCACTTCGATATCCAACCCCCTCCCTCCCACGGCAATTCCGTGGCAGATGTAATCGTCCTAAACAGATTCCAATTTCAGTGCCAAGGGGTCCACGACATGATGTCACCAACCTAGAGAGCCAGGAGGCTTATTTGATAAGCCTTTAACAGCAAACCAAGCAGGAAAAATACGAAGGCTTATGTTTTGAGCCTTCGCTTGTGAGCCAATCATGGACGCTTGAAACTATATATACATGCACCGTGTGCAGCATAACGCCTCATGTCTTTACACCCGCGCTCAAAGGCACTGAGCAAAAGTTTTTTCTATATAGGGGGCTGGAATTGCGGAAACCCACCCACCCAAAGGCATAGACTCGAGCCAACTCCTATAGTTTAAGTTTGGAAGCCGCCCACTCGAGCCAACTCCTATAGTTTAAGTTTGGAAACCGCCCACTTGAGCCAACTCCTATAGTTTAAGTTTGAAGTCCGCCCACTTGTTTAACAACATGTTTGTGATTTTTTGGAAACACATTTGGAGGTATATGTTTGCCCAGGTTTGTTCTCGTTTGCCGTTCCTAGCGCCGGCCGCCCTCGTGATCAAACGGCCCGAGCTCATCCTTTTCTGCGGCCCGAGTGTGGTTCTCAGTGCACTGTTCACTGCCGGTTTGCGTGAACAAAAAGTTGCAAGTAGGCTCGGTACCTAGACAGCGTTGTCTTCTCTAAAGTATTCACATGCGTTCTGCTCGCTATCCGACCGACCTCTTTCATTAGATCCTCATCTTGGTAACACCCATCATACCTTGGATCAGGGGTCGCTGCGGCGAGCTGGGTTCACCCATGTATTTGTTTTTTCTTGGTGACTAAAAAAAACTTTGAAGAATACAGCTGGGGGTCCGCGGGTTGCGGCCAGTTGATTCACAATAGAACGTCAACTCGAGGAATGCGTGGAACTTAGGTGTGATTTTGTAGTTTCGACAACCACTATCCTGGACCTGCCCTTTATCCCACAAAGCGAGGCGTTGGTATAGTAGCAACGCTTGCCGACCAACGTTCACGACATCTTTCGTTCCAGACTCACCCAGAAAAGGTCCGTGACTGTCAATCAAGTGTTGAAACCTTGTGAAGGCCAAAATGGTCCGGTATCGCAAGTCTCCACCTGGAACTGTTGTCGCGGACTCCTTCAAAAACGAAGCGGCCCAATAGAGCATGCCTTTTGTGCATGCAGCCTTGTAGATGCTGCCAAGCTCGGGATAGGACATCCATGTCTCTTTGCCGTACCGAGATGCAGAAAAACGAAAGGAACATCCATTGGCGGGGGCGCCCTGTTTCCTACACCAACCACGATAGTGTCGGTAGACTTCGCTGCTGAGATAGGTGTCCATTTCTTTCAATGTCAACCCCGGGTGTTTCTCTTCAAGGTGATGGCAAATCAATGAAGGGATGACAACCGATGCGACGCCTTGATGAAAAACGTGCAGGATGTCCTCGGATGGCTAGCGAGCAGGCTAGGGATTGGAACGTGAAGTATGTATAAAACAACAACAACAATAACAACATTCCTTTTCAGAATTGGATGAACAGGTTTCTTCCAAGTTCCGATCCTTCTGCCAACCAGCTACCAATCTCCAAGCACTTTGCCTAGAGCCTTGCAGAATCATGTATTCTGCGTGACTGAATCGATGGCTGAGGCATCGAGCCTTTCCTACGCGGAAGTCGCCAAAGGTGAAGGCAGGGTCCCTGCTGGCTAAGCAGTGGTCACATATATACTTGCAAGCATAGAATCTCACAGACTTATGTATGACAGCTTTTGCTTCCCAATCGCCCTTGAACCCTGCGAAGCGTCCAGTCCAACCATTACAAATCAGCTGGCCCCTTCGATGATATTCCAAAGAACCTGGGGGGAACTCACCTCCATTGTGATCCTGCAATGGAAATCTGCCAGTGGCTAGGGTGTCTGTGATGTATCCAATTATTTCGCCAATCCTGTCATGACTCTCATCTTTGACGATCATTGCCTCCCTCTGCAAAATAATGACCAGTTTGGTCTTGGTGGACACACCTTTGCGACAGGCGGACGCGAATGAGTAGATCCATGCTTTTTGGTTCCGAAATATTTTTGCTCCGTCTGTGTGATAGTAGAGTGGCACGCAAGTCCGGTACTGGTTCCTGGGAAGATTGATTTTCTGGAAAAATTCCAAGTGTTCACAATTCCGCCAGTACTCTTCACACATGTCACCTGCGAGGGCTGGGTCATCGGAAACCCATTGTTCAAATTGTCCTTCCTGGTACATCCAAGACCAAAAGTCCCATGGCCACAGGATTGCAATGGGGACGTCCATTCTGTTTTGATTGCCCTCCACATTCATGACGTTGAGGGGAATCTCGACTTTGCCAGGGTGCACAGAACAGACTTGCTGAGTCCACCTGGGGGGGTCCAGAGAGCAAGATATCTAACACAATAGGATTCATTGAATAATGACAAAGGTAAAACTTTTGAAGGTTACACCAAGCCAGTTGCCTGGACAAAGATCTTTCTTCGTGACCTCCATAGTGCCAGCGCGTCATCTCGCGGGCCAAGTTGCAATCCAAACCATCAGCAACCAGCTGTTTGGCATCTCGACAGCCATCAGCTGCAGCTATGACCTGGGGCCGTTTGTGTTTGACCCACAGCAAGATGGGGTGTGCTGTTGGTAGCTGAGGGTTGGGCCCCAGAACAAATCTTCTTCAAAATCCGGAGCGCAGACGAAGAAGCCCCATCCAATGCACCTCAAAGCCACGCGAATCCGTTTTGACCAGCAGTTTGATTGCTGATGGTTGGTTGCCACCCGTGCTGCCCAGGCGCTCGCTGGATTAGCAAGTTTCCGTGGAGGAGATCGGGATCTGGATCTTGTCGGCGTCGTGGGCCTGTGCGGGTGTGGTCTTGGGTCAATGCTTTTGGATGTGGGCCTGGCGCCCCTCAAAAGACATGTTGCAAATTGAAAAGCTGGCTGGAAGCATCATTTGTTTCATTTCTTCGCTTGCCTATCAAACTGCTATTATCCTTTAGGTAATCCCAAAGGGAGTGCACAAAAGCTGAGCGTGACCTTCCAACGGCCCCAAACAAGGAAATGATGGTTGCAGTGTTGTTGACATGTCTAATTGTCTAACCAGACCCGTTGGTGTTGGCCACGAGCCCCAAAAGCCCCATACTGGCAAACAAGCTAGAACTGGCAACTCGATGCCTTCGATCAGTGTACCCTAATCCCGGCTCAAGCCAGCAACATCTAGATAAACTAGGCAGAGGTTTCACCTGGACTGCCCTTACCACCTTCACCGGATTCAGCTCCAGCGGTGGCTTTGTCTTTGGGTTTCTTTCCCTTTGAATTAGAACCCCCGGCCGGTTTCTCAGATGCTCTCACAAGGGCTTTCGCCAATGACAGCCGCTCGGTCACAACTTTCTTGATGTCTTCCACCTGGATGGAAAAGTAAATGATGGGAAAGAAGGTGCCTTTTAATCCTTTTATGAAGGACAGTTGAACATAAGACATCCACCTGGTGGGAAGAATGAACCTTGTATGAACAATAGTTGAACATATTATTGGGCCCCAGACCCTGGCGATGATAGTGACATAGTCCTTATTCCTGTTGAGCTTCTTGTGAATCATTCCCTGGAGCTGCTCCGCTTCAGCATCAAGCTTCACCGCACAAGCTCTCAGCTGCTTGATAAGATCCGATGATAAGTTCAGCGGCTTCAACTTAAAGGCTTGGTCCCTCGAACAGGGGCAACAGATGTATGTATTGATGGGATCAAAAAACATATATATATATATATATATAGGTATTGGACGGTTGATGGGATCTAGAAAAACAAGTCAACCGTGCCTGCATTGGTTTGAATCCTTCATCACTTGGGCCAGCAGGTTTTGTGCCTTTGAAAGTGGTGACTCCGGTTCCACCACCTCACCCTCCTTAGGCTTTGGCTTTGGTTTGGGTGTCTTGGTTTTGGTGCCGAGAGCATCGCTCAAGTTCTTCATCCCACCCTTGCCGGCAAGGTCCCCAAGCGCCAAATGCTGCTTCCCATCAAGACAGCCACCAGCCTCAAGGGTGAGATAAAGAAGGGAAGGTTACCAAACGAAAGGTGCCACAAGGATTCTTGTGGCACCTTTCGTTTTGGTAAACAAACAAACACTTTGCATTCAAAAACCAAATGCACTTTGGGCCTCGACAAAGGCCTTCAGACCCGCTGGGTCAAGAGTGCCCTGAAGCTCCAGCGAGGTTACCCTCTTCAGTTCCCGAATGTCATCCAAATTCAGCTCCACCATGACGAAATATAGATGTTCGTCTTCTCCGGGGAACTCTGGGTCTGGAATGGTCCTTGGCCGCGAGGATTGGATGATTGGACGATGGTTGGAGGATCGTACGTGGAGGCTCGATTGGGTGGTGCAGGGATTGGTAACTGCAAAAATACAAGTGAAGCCTAGGTTCAATCCTAGGTCCTTCTTTCGTGCCATGATCTTGTTGGCTTTGCGCTCTCCGTGATGTTTCACTAGCCACTGGTCGTTTCTAAAGCCCCATCGAACCTGGGTTCGTTGAGACTCTTCCAACTTTTGCTCGAATCGGGCCTCAACCTCCGCGAAGTTGCAGCCACAATCTAAGTATTCGAGGAAGATCTTGTCTCTGGTCTCCTGATATGGCATGGTCTAGATGTCAAAGCAACCAGCGTGTGGAGTGTCAAACCACCCCTGAACATCCTGAACCACCCCCAGTTTCTCCTTGTCCTTTGTCGCGGCAATGATCTTTGCCGGGCACCGTCTTTTGTTCTTCAGCCACCTACCATAGGCCTGCCACTCCTTTCTGTGGGTGCTGCTGTTGCGCACACCGTCTTCTCCTTTGCTTTCTTTAGACTTCTTTTTCTTTTTCTTCTGAGTTGTCTCTTCCGTTTTCTGTTCCTCCTCCTCCTCTTCTTCCTCCTCTTCATTCTTTTTCTTCTTTTCCTTGTCCTTCCTCTGGCTCTTTTCCTCTGGCCCTTCCTTTTTTTGCTTCTTCCGATCCTTCACCTCTGCTTTCCTCTTGACACCTTTCTTTGGCGCCTCTTCTGAACTCTCTGCCTCTGACTCACTGTTTTCAACATCGTCTTCGTCTTCCTGGTCTTCCTCTGGTTCATCATCGTTGCTGCTCTCATCAGCTTCCTCATCCGATCCTTCTTCGGAGTCATTCTCATTTGTTTCCTCCTCCTCTTTCTCCTCCTGATCGCTATCATCCTCCTCGTCTTCCTCATCAGCTTCACCACGATTCAACGCTGGATTCTTCAATATGGTGGTTGGTTTGTTGGCCTGCTCTTCATCATCGCTGGCCTGCTCTTCATCATCTTCCTCCTCCACTTCATGGCTCCCTCCTTCTCCACTGCTGTCTTCACTGCTGCATTCACTCAAACTAGACGACTCACTAACCCTGCAGCTGCTGTCATCCTCAGTCTCCTCGCTTTCCTCCTTGTCCTCCTTTGCTTTGCTCTTCTTCTCATCCTTATTTGCCTCGCTCTTCTTACCATCCTCCTTTGCCTTCTTCTTTTTCTCGCTCTTCTTCTCATCATCCTTCTTGCTGTTCTTCTCATCCTCCTTTGCCTTGCTCTTTTTCTCCTCCTCCTTTACCTCGCTCTTCTTCTCATCACCCTTCTTGCTTTTCTTCTCATCCTGCTTTTCCTTGCTCTTTTTCTCCTCCTCCTTTGCCTCGCTCTTCTTCTCAACACCCTTCTTGCTTTTCTTCTGCTCATCCTTTTCCTTGCTCTTTTTCCCCTCCTCCTTTGCCTCGCTCTTCTTCTCATCACCCTTCTTGCTTTTCTTCTCTTCCTCCTTTGCCATGCTCTTCTTCTCATCACCCTTCTTGCTTTTCTTCTCTTCTTTCTTTGCATCGCTCTTCTTCTCATCATCCTTCTTGCGTTCCTTCTCTTCTTTCTTTGCCTCGTTCTTCTGCTCATCATCCTTCTTGCTTTCCTTCTCTTCTTTCTTTGCCTTCTTTGCGTCTTTGTCCTTTGCATCTTTTGGTCTCTTCTTCTTTGTCTCCTTGGCCTCATCAGCCATGTTTGCAAAAAAGGCAGACCACCATTCTCGCATTGACTTTAGTGACAACCTTTTTCTGGACCTTCTGATCACACGGTATCCAGGAGCTTTGGGGAATTTGCCAGGACATTCAAACCTTTTCCAGTAGGCCCTGTAGAAGGCCTCTGCTTCGGACTCACTGGCTGCTTTCTTTGCCTTCTGTTGGTCCTGCACGGAGTAAAGGTGATGTTCTTTTGGGCTCTGTTGGGCGCCAAATGGAACAGTTGTTTGGGGAGTTCTTTACACGCTCTTTGAACACTGTCCTTAATGGCTTGAAAGACTTCATCGGCTTCCTTCTCGGAGATGTTGGATCCGCCGGCTTTGTATTCCGCTATGATGGGTGTAACCTTGGGTGCCTCTTTGAAAGAAATCTTCCTTCGGGCGCTAGATTCTTCCTTCGAACTTCCACTTCCCCCCCTAGTGGGTCTTGGTGGTGGGGTAACAAGGCCAGCAGCCTTCGAAGCTTTCTTCAAAGCTTTTGGGGCAGGACTTCTGCCCCTGGGTGCTGACTTCGACCGGTGCCTAGTTCGAGGTGCTTCCCCCGACATGGCTAGCTACAACGATGAACCCTGCAACAAAAACAGCTGCGTATGCACATATACCTTCAGTGCTATACAACTTAATGTGCTAGATTGGTCTTATATATGGTCAAAGGATTCCCAAACAGCTGTCTTTTGGCATCAAGCGCCGAAATGTCATCCAATTGACTTTGAATTTGTCAGCGCTGAGTTCTAATTGAACTCTGTCTTTCACACATTGTGGTGAAAACCTTGACTGGAACCCAGATTTTCCATAAATTTCTGCAACCTCCCAAACCCAAGAATTTTCCCGGCCATTCCCGGCTGTTTCCCGGCTTTTTCCCGGATTCCCGGGTTTCAGATTTTGGATGATTTTGGGGCAAAAGCAAAGGTGTTTCTGGAATCCAGATTGAAAACCACAATGCACCCACACACGTGCATGGTCCGGGCCCGGGCTACACCAATGCTTCAATCACACTGCGCAGGTTGGATCGATGAGCCCATGCTCCATCCTGCCGGGAAGCTTGAGATCGTGCATGGCCGGGATCATGGAAGGCCGGTGGAGGCAACAACCACATCATTATAATCATCCTTATTAACTAGATCAAACAGAGCTATAATTATAGCTAATCTAACATGGCAACAATCCAATATAAACTTGAAAACTTGGGGTCTAGAACCCAAGAATCCGAGAAACCGAGAAACCAAGAATCCGGGAAACCGAGAAAGCCAAACCAAGAATCCGGGAAACCGAGAATCCGGGAAACCAAGAAACAAACCAAGAACCCGGGAAACCGAGAATCCGGGAAACCAAGAATCCGAGAAACAAACCCGGGAAACCGAGAATCCGGGAAACCAAGAATCCGAGAAACAAAGCAAGAATCAAGAATCCGGGAAACCGAGAATCCGGGAAACCAAGAATCTAGACCCCGAGATTCCGAGAAACCAAGAATCCGAGAAACTTGGGGTCTAGAGAAACCAGGAATCCACAAATCCAGGAATGAAACATCAGAAAACTCCGGGAATAAGGGATCAAGACAGATCTGAACAGATCGATGTTGTCAGTGGCGACTTATCAGTAAGTAAGATGTTGGATTTTGGTCAACCCATGAACAACTCTTCCAACACATGTGTTTCCCAATAGGCGCACGAACCCTAGCTGTCCTTAACGAACTCTCGCTTCGGCTTGCCAGATAATAGGCTGTGCCTCGAACGAATGAATGTGTTTGGTTCGGGTGGTCTGGTTTTAAACAGCTGTTGTTCATTTACTTCACTGGTTTGTTCATAGTCAAGCTGCTCGATTTGCTTCATGTTTTCCCTGATGTGTTGCCGGTGTTGATGAAACAATTGGGCAACTGCATCCCCAAATAGTCGTGGATAATGTTGAGTACCTTTAAGGTCACGCCCTCCTGACACACGTAGTATCCCAGCGCCATCCACATACCTGAGCTAGACATCCAATAACATACCTTACGTAGGATCACTAGCTAGCCATCAAAAAGCATACCTTATGCAGTTTGGCTACTTTATTGAGGTTTCCGCGCCCCACTCCTTATTCGCCGGAAGTGGCAAATACAGCTCTTGGATAAACGGATAGTTGCTGTAGATAAAGGATGGCTTCGGGCCTCAGTGCGATGAGATCGGCAAACCGAACAACTTTAAGGTTCACTAAAGGGAGTTGCATGGTATACCATATATATACCCCATTAGATCGATCTTCCAACCGGCTTGCCTAAGCTGACTACTTCCTGTCCATCAACTTCCTGCCCACCGCCGCCCGTGAACCTTTTGAAGGCTAGGGGCATGAGTGGCCGTAGCTGCCCAACCAGCAGAATGCCTTGGGAGGGCAACAATGGAGATTGGAGGATTGATGAACTGATGACCCAAAGAACTCACAGTGTTTGGAAACCAAGCTACCCTGTAAATGTTGAACACGCGGCACATTCTTTGGAAATCCGGGTGATATTGTAGCAAAGAGCTGGCAGGCTGTTCCAGAGCCCATGGCACCCCCAAAGTAGAGGCCACAGCAATGAGGATGCAGCAGCGGGAGACCATTTCATTCCTGAGATGATCCACATTCAAAGCAGCAAACAACAGAGTGACATACCTTTTCTTTTAGTGGTGGACCATTCCTCTCGATCCGCTCGATGTCAAAGACCTAAATCTACCTGCTTCCCAGTTCCATTGGCCGCCTAGGGCCACATGGGCTAAGTAAAGACTCCAACGCCCATCGCGTTGGCACCCCCAATCAAAAGAATAGAGTTGAGGACCGCCTGCCCATCTCTCCAGCCAACACAATGGAAACATACAGGTGCAATACAGGTGTAGTACCAAACTCTGAACCAAGATCTAAACATATCTAAACAAAGACCTATACCAAGCATGTGATCACATCCACCTTGGGCAGTTGGTCTACCCTCAACACTAAAGGCTATGGACTCGGGCCGTCAGCCGGAATCCCCAAGACTTCGGAAACTTCCTTCCAAACCTGTTCAACATCGCGGTTCAGGAAAGATGTCCTTGGCTCAATGTTGGAACAAACAGGTTGAAACATGTTGAAACTCAATCTTGAACTGCGTGCTCACTGAAAAGAATGTCGCTGTTGCCAAGACAGGTCCAAAACATATGTGTTGAGGAAAGACTCGATTTCGCAACCTTCCCATGGATTGCTTCACGCTCAGCATTGAACTTGGGTTTCAGGGCGGATTGTCTCAGTAGGACTTCAACGCGTGCTGAGCCCAACCGCCTAAGCTGAAGCACAATAGATGAAGCAACCAACCGTATTTTGCACGATTGGTCAAATAATTGAGGGAAGTGGTGCGATAACTTCACTTTGGTTGGCCAAGAAACACTGTGTACGAATGTTGTCCGTGCTTGGAAGAGGTTGGCCACAAGCACACTGGCAATTTCTGAATCACGGGACGGTACGCCTCGAGAAAGGTCTCGAGAACCTCGGCCTTGCTTTCGGGTGTAGGGTCAGTACCACCTGTCTCGCAAGTCTTTGCTTTCTTCGAGCTCTTCTTCCCCTTCCCGTGTTTCTTTCTCCGTTTTTCTCCCGCCCTCTTCTTGGCATCCTCATCGACCACATCGACAGGCTCAACATCAGATAGATTGCCATCGCACAGCGCTGGCATCTTGGAATCCTGTTCATGGGCGCAAGGGCGACGCAAAAGAAATTGGAAGAGTTGGCCATCAAGATCACAATCATTCACAATCTACCTAGAAGGAAAGTTGAAAGATCTTCAACTTTCACTCCTGCATGTGTTCCTGAAACATGGAGGACGTACTGCTGCGCTTACCGGGCTTGTCATATGGAACCAAAGCATGCTCATCCTCATCACCTGGTTCGATCTCATCTTCCTTGTCGTTACCGCGGCTAAGATTTGCCCAAATATCGCTGCCAAGATCCTAGGGTGTACGTTCAGAACCAACCCCACATTTATGTGTTAATATTTAAAAATATATATATATATATGTATACATATACTGGTATATGGGCGTTGATTCTGCAATGCAATCTCAACAGTTGAGGACCGGTCAGAGTCGCTGACGTTGGAATCAGACCCATCATAGGGCGGAGCGTCCACAACTCCGAAAAAGTTGTCCGGTATGGGGCCTGAGGAACTAGATGATCCCAATGCATCAGTCTCTGCATCACAGTCCACTAGCTTGTCAGCAGGGACATCCTGTTGACTCTCAGAGGGTTTCATGGCATCTTTGAGCAGTTGCACCCATGGACTCTTCGAGGAGTGGCGTGAATTTTGCCACAACCTGCACCAAACACAATGACTTTCTTGTAAGAGGTTTCATTTCTTTCTTGGTGAAATTTCCAGAACACAAGAGATTTCATTTCTTGTAAGACTTTCTCCGGCGGACCTTCGAAGACCTGACCACAATTTCTGGAACTTGATGGTCATTGCCTCCATGATGTCAGACACATCCTTCGTGGGACACCGTTTTCTTTTATGAGGTGATATAGGGCTCAACGTCACTACTTGTTTTCAAGATTGATGTTTGGAAAGCCTGAACCGTGCCAAGGCTCATCATCGCTGCCGAAGCATCTGATCGCCAAGCCCTACGCAGGGTGGCACAGCAAGATGGGTGGGCTTGGCTAACCAACGCTACAAAACATATGCCTTGAACTCGTGGTTGAAGCTGGTGAGAACAATTTCCATCTCGTACTTGGAGGGCTTGCGAGATTGAAACTCTGCAAACCTGACCAAAGCATGGATAGCCCAATAGTTCTTGATCCTCAGCCAACCCCAGCCGAAACAGTTTTATGGGACGTGTCACAAACAAACCAAATTGCACATTGCCATACAACATTCTGCCAGTATATAGTCTGAGCTGAGGAACAGAACTCGTTCACGTGTTTTCCCTCTCTTGCTGAAGTGCCCGATGATCAAGTCGGAAGTCGGTTGATCACCAAGTCCAACGATGGCCTCCTGTTTAACCTTTTGGGGTACACTGCGAGCTAGGTCTAGTCCCAAGAGCTGTAGTGCCGACACGTACTTTTCCATTCCATGACTAGGGTGGCAATCTTGCCAATTCCACCCCAGAGTGGCGTCAGCCTCTGACACGGACCCTGCACTGGTGCTGCAATCAGAGTCACTGTCACAATCCCTTTTGTCTGCCGGCATTCTGAATGCAGAGCAGGAACTCAAGCTGTGGATGCAGAAAACTCAAAACACCGAAGTCTGAGCCAAGTCGATCACGATTTCACACGAAACAAAATCTTGATGACAAGATTGTTCTTGACAGATTAGATTGCACACAAAACAAATCGCACAATCTCTTCTTGAAAGTGCACGTGTTTCAGTGCAAACAAGATTCCCCTGGGCAACACTCGCCACCTTCGCATTGCCCAATGGACTCTCTTTGGATCGACCCGATGTGGATCTGCGCGCTGAGGTTTGGACAGACGTGAGGGCTAGCTGAGAGGGCTGGGGTGTTCTCAACGGCTCAACCCTGCAAGAAACTTGATGGCCTATTGATCCAAACCCAGGAAGAGCAAACCGGAGCCATCCAAAGCATCCCGGCCTGGGTCGCGAATCGGTCACGTTATCTCCATCATAAGATCATTGTGTTTTGTTCAACATCCAGAAACATCCAATACCTTTGACCAAAGCAGTTCAACAAAACATCAATCGGTGTCCGCGTAAACTGCGCAAACTCTCGAAGCAGAAGTTTCACTGTGCGAGCGCCAAGTTGCGGAATTGTGCAAGCGAATGCACAGTGAAAGGGCGTATGCAAAGCCTGTGCACGCGAAACTATGTTGATCAATTCTAGCAGTGTTTGTTTGTCAACTTCATCCTTTTTGATGGTGATCAGTTCTAGAGATGATTGAAGTGAGTCACCTTTCTTTTGTGAGTTGCAGTTCACTCACAACTAGTTCAACCAAGAAACCCAGACCGCTCAGGAAATTCTGTCCAATCCCATCGTCCTCCAATTCAAAAGAGGCCACTGCCTTTCCCAACGCCCTGCCAGTTGCGCAATGCTGGGGAGGATTACCAGCAAGCTTTTGCATGAACAAGTTGCCATGAACACACGTTGAGAAGGACACACTTCCTTTCTCATGTTTGGACAAAGTCTAAAGGTTTTGTTGGAAACTTGCCTGAATCCTCCACAAATGGCCTTACAGCCAGCGAAGATCTCTGCACAGCCAAGAGCCTGTTGAAAAATGACGGGGCAGAAGGTTTGGTGGTTACTCGGCGCATGTTAGGATCACTAGGACCAGGAAGAAACTGACGTTCTGTAGATGTCTATGGTAAATAAACTTGATCCGAGAAACACTGGTTGGCGCGTCCATGCATTGACAAACCACGGCGCACAGCGTCATGAGCGAGAATGGTAGACCTCCATTGGCCAAGAGTTTGAGCCTCAGGCGTGAGAAGCCTTGGAGAAACCTGGGTTGTGAAATGTTTTGTCTTAACATGTCTCAACTTCCATACCTCTCAAACTCAACTCTCAACGATAGCAGGTATGTTGGCCAAGTAACATTTGGGCTAGGACAGGGTGCACAGAGGCCTCCATAGTCTTAAAGGACCTTGATGGCCCACACTTGGCCGCACGTCGGAGTTTGATCATCCTCCTTTGTTTGTCGGCCTTCTTTGTTTTCAAGACACGCAAGGCCATGGTGAAAATGCGCGCCCACTATCGGACCAAACACTGCGAAACTTATGGGTGTAGCTGCATGCTGCATGCGGCCGCACTCTTCAGTGACTGCATGTGACTTTGGTAGCGGAGCCTCTACAAAATCAACAACACGCAGAGCCGATGGGCGTGCCTCGGCGCGCAGCTCCATTGGAGGAAGTCATGCTGGGTCAGCATGCGGAAGTGAAACTGAAAGAAGCTGGAAGTTCTGAAGCTGAAAAACCTATTTGCAAAAAAAAACATGCTAACACATCCACCTTGCAACGGCTAAGTTGGATGCCTGGTTGCCTGCCAACTCTGTTCCTAAACTCCGTTGGAACTAGTGGAAACAGTGGAAACTAGAAACACCACAGACAGGTTATATGCTCTGCGCCTACCCCGTGTAGACACAGCTTGGCCCAGCGCGCAAAGCGGCCAACGAGTGGAGAAAAAAAACGAAGCACCAGCAAGTCGACCGAAGCGCGAGCGATTAACCCAAACAAAGTGCGTTTCTAAAGCGTCAACGTGTTTGGTGACAACTAGGCACGTGAGAAAAAACAGTGCTATGTGGAGAGAGCTACAAAAAATATTGACACCACCTAAAGTGTGTGCAACAAGTTGTGTATAGAACTGCAGATGTACCTTTTTTTGTGTGAAGTCTTTGAACCTCAAAGCCATTCAAAGCCGATCCAGCTTAAGCTTACCTTTTTCACGGCCGTGAAGGCTTATCTAGTCCAAAGGCTTATCTTGCCCATTCTTCTTGGCCAGCATAAGCCTTTAGCCTTAAAGGCTTGTAGGATAGCACTCTCGGCTCTCTAGGAAGGCTTACAATCCACCGTGTGAATCGACCTCTGTCCGAAGTCGTCAAAAGGTCCGCCAAGTTCGCCGTCTCCGATGTTTACAAAGACTTATTTTTAAGCACGTCTCGCATGAGCATGAGGGTAACTGTCTCAGACTACATTCAGCAATTCAGCCGCTTTGGCATTCAATCCGAAATGCCCCAGGGTATGGCAGATCGTGGGAACATTGGA